CATTGCCAAAAGCATTAAACTAGTGTCAAGTGATTTGAAGTTCGTGACTGATGGGACCCACTTTCTTTCAAACAAGTCAAAGTGTTAATACTGAGTAGGTTGCTTGCTTCCTTCATTAAGAATTTATTTGCTTGGTCATTCAAAGTTTAAATAAATATGTGTTTTGTATTGTTTGTAGGTTTTATAAGATCGGTCACTGTTCGTAACCTTCGCCTATTTCATAGAAGTAAGTGACACTAACTGTAGGTATACATGTATGTAGCACATATATTTCAACTCATAAATTCATAAATAATATTATAAATACAGATTTGAGAATTTATGATTCATCAATTTTATATGTCAGCTATACAAGATAAACACTTTTATAAAACTATTCTTGCTAAAATATATAGCATGGACCTTAAAACATGCTGTCCTGCTCTGAAGCCTTCTTCGCGTTCGCTTTTTGGTATTTAGTTTTGTATTATTTTTTTTTATTTTGTAATTTCATTTTTTTTAAATTTAATATTTTATTTGTTTTGTTTTTTGTTTGTTTGTTGGTTGGTTTTTTTTGTTTGTATGTTTGTTTTGTTTTGTTTTTGTTTTGTTTTGTTTGTTTGTTTGTTTGTTTTTTTGTTTGTTTGTTTCTTTTTTTTTAAATTTAGTTACTTTTTTTTAATCTCGTAATTTAGTTTTTTATTAGTCCCCTACCGGTGAAACCGGAGGGGACTATAGGTTTCCTCTGAGTCTGTCCGTCCGTCTGTCCGTCCGTCTGTCTGTCTGTCTGTCCGTCTGTCTGTCTGTCTGTCCCTCTGTCTGTCTGTCAGTCTGTCTCACTTGGTTTTCCGCACTTTTCTCCTAAACGCTTGCAGATATTGAGCTGATTTTTGGTGTGTGAGTGTATCTTGATGAGATACAGATCAAGTTTGCATTTCGTTCCGCTTCATTGATTTTTGACGGAATTACGGCCTTTTCAATTTCTAAGGGTTTTCCGCAATTTTCTTCTAAACGCTTTCAGATATTGAGCTGATTTTTGGTAAGTGATGTTACCTTGATTAGTTATAGATCAAGTTTGTATTTCGTCCCGCTTCATTGATTTTTGACGGAATTATGGCATTTTTAATTCTTAACAGGAACCAGATTACACTTGCCGGTAGGGGACTAGTATTGCTAAAGCAATACTCTCAGAATGCTTGTTTTTAATGTTTTTGCATTGATTTTTCATGAAGAAGTTTTAAAAACGACATTTTACGACATTTGAAATATCGATCAATATTCTAGACCTCTTGGAACGGAACTGTACCCTTCTCTCCTTTGTTTTTTGCTCTTTTCCCCATCTCCATTTTTCTCCCCTTCTCTTACGAAGTCTTTTTTTCAAACAGGAAGAAATATCAGTACTCCTCTGATTGTTACGGAAAGCCAATAGTGCAAAGCAAAACTAAATGGAAAAAAAAAACACTAAATAAAATAACCAAAGAAATAAGAAATTCCGAAATAAAAATCCAAAAATAAAATAAAATGTACGTCAAAAGGACGTCTGTGAACCCACCAATTTCCACAAAGTATATGCCTGTGAACATGGACTTCAAGTGCAGCATATCTTGAGGTCTATGCTATCCACGGAAATATATTTTTAACAAGGAAAGTTTCATACAAGAGTGTCACTTGTTTGGTTATAACTATAACCGACATATAAATACCAATTTGAGAATTTAGCATTTAAAATATGTAAGACATACACCTGCAGTTAGTGCATAATTTTTATTTAAACTAAGAATGAGCAAGACAATTAGAAATGTATTGTTTAATCCACCTACGTGGAACAAAGCAATCAATACAACTTACTCATTGTTAATACTTTGATTTGGGATGTTCAATTTTAGTGCTCTCTGATATTGTCAAACAAACCCTCAAAACACGATCGGTAAAGTATCAGTTTACAGCATTACTGTGTTGTGCGATAAGTTGATAGATATGCGAATTTCCTAAATTTTATAACGTTTAGTAATGGTAAAAGCAGATATATTTTAAATCATAATAAATCCCTATACTCTTAGGAAGCATTTGGTCAATTTACAAGCATTAATCTCTTGGATGTTTCATGTCCAGATTTATTTATTATTCGCTCACATAAGCTGAAATCTTAAGTGAGCTAATGTTAATTCTCTTCTCTCATCTTCTCTTACAAACACTGGGCCAATTCATCAGAGCGGTCAAATCCTCACTTTAATGCAAGATATAAACATTATATAAATAGTGCACGTTTTTGAGGGTAACAGTTGAAATTGACACCCCAAGGAAAACCATTGTCAACCGACGCGTCAGCGGAGGTTGACAATGGTTTTCCGAGGGGTGTCAATTTCAACTGTTACCCTCAAAAACGTGCACTATTTATTTTATTATACTGAATGTCTTATTGATTTCGGATGTCAAAAGAAAAATTCGGAGATCGTTGAGTTCACGCTTAGAAAGCTTTCAGACTCCCCGCTTCTATTTTTCTCAATAAGAAAGCTTCGGAAAAGATTTACCAACCTTTTTATTGTTTGTTTGCTACTCAAAAAGTCCTTTATCGTCTAAAATTTGCATTTGCAAGGATGTTTCGTCTGTCGTTTGTTGTTTTCAAGTAAGCTACATCGGACGCAAGCTTTTATTGACGTCGTTTATTCGGCTTCTTTCAAACGCACAACTGACGCTTTGAGAATTCTACGGTGAACCGTACGCGCATGATTTGAACGCATGTGATATTTTCGTATTATTATACTTCTGTTCTGTTAAAATGTTTCCTATATAAAGTTAAGAAGGTAAACTAACTATCTTCATAGTCTCACACATAGCAAAGCTATACCCCGGGGTATAGTTTTTGCTATCCACCCCTCGGAAAATTTTCATGCAATTTTTGCCGCCAAGTTTGATTTCCTGTAATCAATCTATAGACTTATGATGTCATCCTGACTTCAGTAGCATTGTGACGTCATCAGGATTTCAGCTCATTCTAGCAGTGTTATCTTATTCCAAATACTTGTTCAAAACTTTTATAATTATTTTTTTTTCATGTTTTTACTATCGAACTGTAGTATCAGGTAAATCCAACCCTTAGAAATTATGATATACATCAGTATAATAAAACTAAAATTATGATATACATCAGTATAATAAAACTATTCCCCTCGGGCAAGCCCTCGGGGAATAGTTCCTGTCGCGGGTTTGATAAAAGAGCTATCCCACTCACAGCCAGTGGATAAGTGTATAATGTTACCCGTTGTTAAGTGTGTTGCTAACGCTGAGGGTAACATTACGGATTGTTAAATGCGTGTAAACCAATCAGATATTAGTATTTAACATGAAAGTATAATAATTAAGAATATTAGATAATCCTTAATCAAAGCTTAATTCAGATCATATACTACATTCTGGCCATGTCAATGATACAGAGATAGCCGAGTATAAATTCAACCATATGCCGTTTTCATACTTGTAATAAATGTCCAATCAGTACATGTAGTATGATAAATGTCCAATCAGTACATGTAGTATAATAAATGTCCAATCAGTACATGTAGTATAATAAATGTCCAATCAGTACATGTAGTATAATAAATGTCCAATCAGTACATGTCGTATAATAAATGTCCAATCAGTACATGTAGTATAATAAATGTCCAATCAGTACATGTAGTATAATAAATGTCCAATCAGTACATGTAGTATAATAAATGTCCAATCAGTACATGTAGTATAATAAATGTCCAATCAGTACATGTAGTATAATAAATGCATCTGATAATAAAGAATTAGCAGGTAAGTCATCAACTATCTAAAATCATTAACCTCGTAAACTAGTGTCAAGTGATTTGACGTTCGTGACTGATGGGACCCACTTTCTTTCAAAAAAGTCAAAGTGTTAATACTGAGTAGGTAATTTGCTTCGCTCATTAAAATATTTTTTATTGTCTTGGTCATTTAATCGAAGTTTAAATAAAGAGTTTTTTCCCCTTAAAGATTGATCACTGTTCGTTGCCTTCATCTATTTCATAGAAGTGGTGCACTAACTGTAGGTGTATGTATCACACATTTCAAATAAAAAAAATTCAAATCTGTATTTTAATGGCGGTTATAGTTATGATCAAACAAGGCACACACTTCTGTAAAACTCTCCTTGTTAAAAAAAAAATATATTTTCTCTGTGAATAGCATGGACTTAAAACATGCTGTCCTGCTCTGAAGCCCATGCTCACATACGTTCACTTTGTGAAATAACTCATGGATTTACGTCCTTACGACGCACTTTTAAATTCGGTACTTAGTATTTAATTGTGTTATTATTATTTTTTTGTATTCTATTAAGTTTTGGTTTTTTATTTTGCAGTCTATTTTTATATTTTGATATTTAGTTTTGAATTTAGTTTTTTAGTTAGTTATTTTTTTTACTTATAATTTTTTTTTTTTTATTTTGTAATTTAGTTATTTATTTAGTTTTGGTTTGCACTATTGTGCATCCGTAGACTGTGAACTAATAAATTGGACAGATGACACTAGATTTGCATTCACTAATAGTTTTTCAATTTTTTTTCCTTATTTTAATGAACTTTGATTTCTGAAACACATGCTAGATAATGCACAGAATCCTTTCCTCATGGTGATCAACAGTTATATTAGGTAACAGAATAGGTGTTTCTCTCTCTTTCTCTCTCTCTCTGCTTCATATTATTTAAAAGCACCTTTGAAAACATTTTAGCAACTTATTTGAAAATAGGCAACATTGGAGATTTTATGAGTTCTATCCTTAACCTCTTTAAACAGCGAGTGAGAATAAGATAAAAATTTGTAAAGCCTTCTACAAAAATCTTAACATCAATATAACTCAGTACGTTCTAGGTTGATCAGTTTTGTTCCCAGCCTACTTTGGGGAAATTAATGAGAAAAGATAGGCTTAAGCAAATGCCATGAAAATAAAAGGGATACTGTAAAGATCTGTAATAAAAATATGGGATGGACGATCTGAAGCTATAGAATTTGCACAGGGTAATTTAGGGTGAAAAATCCCGAAAGTACTTTATAAAGTCATAAATAAAATACAATACATAGCAAAAAATAATGCCAAAAATCAGTTTCCAACTAAATAAGGAAAATATAGGGGTATACACGAATATGAACAACCACCACATCCAAATAGAGTAAAACAACACATAAAGAAAACAGCTTATTTTGTCGGTGTCCTGAGTTTCCATTCCGTCGTTTGCTAACATTCCTGTCTTATAGAAATGATCCAACATTGCTTCTTTTTCGACATATCTGTCGTACATCCATTTGGTGAGTCCATTTTCGTCTCTAGGGACGCTTTGTATATCGAAGACTCGAAAATGTATGTGTATGGGTGGAAATTTTCCCATGGAGAACATTAGAGTCAGGGCATTCGGTGCTTCTCCTCTTGGATAAGCGATGGTCATATCAATGATCCAGTTCAACTTTTCATGATTATCGTTGAAATCGTATAGACCTGAAACGTGTAATTTATATATATATATATATATATATATATATATATATATATATATATATATATATATATATATATATATATATATATATATATATATATATATATATAATTGTATTTGGGGGGCGGGGGATGGGGGCTTCTTTTACTTTTCTTTCCAACTTTAAACCTCTCTTTGTCTGTTGTTTTCTTACCTGGAAAAGGGATCTAGCTATTAACTTAAAATGTTCTATATAGAACAAAAGTTCTACAGTGAAATCTCCATATGCCTACCTTCCTTTGGTGCTAATTCGTCTAGTATGGTTTTAGTTACCCCCAGTCGTGGCAGACAAACGTTTTCAAGTACAGGCAAACCATGTTTCTTTGCGTACCTTTGAACAGAACTTTCTATATTCGAAAATGATTAATTAGTGCTAGTTATATAAACTTCTAATTTACAATGTAAATTTTCGGTACATGTGTACCTCTGGTTTCCTGGTTTTCTAGTGGAGAGAAACCCGCCCTCAGGAAACACCACAATCCATTTCTTCAGAGTTTTTAAGTAAATATTTTTTAAGTGTGTTTTGAGTTTCTTCATTTGTTTAGTTCTTTCAGATACTGTCTGAAATAATAGAAACATAACACATACTGTATAAATTTAGCAAAGATACCAGTCTGAATCGACCCTTTATCTTTTGATTGATAGTGTAAATTTACATACACATGTCTGGCTACAGGTTTGATTGAATTTTAATTTTATCACCATGCTGCGTGACTTTAATTTTCAGCTCAATCTGCCCCTGATTCTAAGTCGTGTCTCACTAATACGATAGCCTGTTGAGTTCATTTCAGTCAATGAAACATTTCAAAATTTAATTTGGCGGAAATTGCCTTCATTTCTAATAAGTTTACTCAATGTTTTTGCAAAAATGAAAGATTTCACAGCATAGCTTAGAAGTCTGTATACTGCATCGTTATCGACCCCGAACACCCCCACCCACCCACCATGTATTACAGTGATTTACACTTTTCTTGTTTCCCACTTCTTCAAAACAATATTTATTTGTTTTTATTAAATTTATTTTGTGACTTAATAATTTATTCTTATACAAATAGTGTCTGTGGTTTCTTCTAAAAATTTAACCAAATACAGCTCATAATTAAACCAACATATAAGAAAGAAGCATAATCTTTTCTTGTTTTGACTACTATGCAACTCAATAATCATAAAGCATGTTTTAGAGTACGTAAAAAAGAATATACGAGATAGGAAAGAGAAATAAATTTTCTACTTATTTCATATAATAATTGCTAATGGTAATGAGATGTGTTTGTCTCCGATTTTGGGAAGCTTTCGTGAGTCACGTAACAGACTCATGGCCATCCTTTTGTGGTATCTTAATGTGACATATACAGATTACTATCATATATGAAAGTATCCACATATACATGTATATGTCTTTTTTATACAGTAAGCATGCCAAAGAAATAAAAAGAATATATAAAACCATTAAACGGAGAACTTGCGTTTGATACAATAATAGGTAAGTAGACGTTCGTATCATTGACAGGGGAAGCTAACATGTATTCTCGTATATTTAGATTTTTTAAATGCTTCTATCGCTTCGGGTTTTTTTTTTTTTTTTTTTTTAATTTTTTTATTTATTTATTTTCTTTTGTTTTGTTTTTGTAAGATACTTTTGCTTTAGGTATGTCTTGTAAAAGTCGTTACTTACTCCATTGTTCTGTACTTTTTAAAATCATTAAAAATTAATTAAAAATCCATATATCTAAAATCTTTTATACCCTGCAAGGTTGCTTGAGGAAGAAGTCTCCATGTAGATGACTGACCCATCCAAAGTGAGTAAGCCGAAACACGTGATCCATGACCCAGGTCATGTGACCCGTTACCATGCCTTTTGGGTGGAGTGATTGCATGATAACTCCAATATCAGCTGTTGACTGGTGATTACAAAGCAGAAGAGCTTTATCATCTAGAATGTCTTTCAAAGAATCACCGGATTCTTTCACTGAAAATTAATTATCCTATTCGAATACAATTGATATTGTTAAAAGAAAAATCCATTTGATATATTCTAAATAATTTTTTTAAAGAACATACAGACAACTCCATCAGTGTAAAACCATGACGTCACACCTCCAAGAACAGCCTTGAATAAGTGAGCATCTATCGTCCAGAAGAGACGAGGACGAACAAATCTAAGTGGCAACAGTAGGATGTGGAAAGTCACATAAACTGGAACTCCAACACATTGTGTGTAGAGGAAATAGGCACTCTTGACGATGTAATAAATCGCAGCAATCAGCCACTGATCTTCCATTTTAGGTTCTAAAGAAAATTAAATGTTGTTTTTAATTCTTGTTTTTTTAATGAACTCTAGTATATTTACCTAAAATATTTTCTCAAGATACAGAGAATTAAATTATCACAAAGTAAATCTTATACGGTACCAATTTTGATGCACCAGATGAGCATTTCGACAAAGTATCTCTCTTTAGTGATGCTCGGTGGACATCCGAAATATTAATTTAAAAAACTCTGAAGAGCTGGAAAAAGGGGTGTCGAAGACTAAAGCCAAATACGTCGAAGAATCAGAGCTATACACGAGAAAGATAATCCTTAATTTTGAAATGAATTTCTAAATTTCAACACAGCAATTAAATATATATCCGTATTTTCAAGCTAGTACCGATATATTTAGCTACTGAATTGTAGAGACCTTCGAGGACTAATAGTCCACTAGCAGAGGCCTCGACCCAGGGGTCATAATGTAAATCTTGTATACGGTACCAATTTTGATGCACCAGGTGCGCATTTCGACAAATTATGTCTCTTCGGTGATGTTCATGCCGAAACTTTGGAAATCCAAAATATTGATTAAAAATAATAGAACTCAGTAACTCAAGATCGTCGGAAAGATGGGATTGGGTGTAATTTCACAAATACCCCACCCTCTTTTTAAAAAAAATCGGAAATACCTTTCCGTTCTTGATACGAACTGAATTCATTATATTTATCTATTTTGAGAAATGCTGAAATAGATTTTGTTTATTTAATTCATACATAAAAAAAATTATACCTGAACACCAAAATGTATATCCATTTTAAAAAAAATCTAGCTTAATGGAGAGTATACCTCTCCCAGTTCCTTCCCCGAAGCCACCTTTCCAAACCCTTATAGCGACGGCCCTACACGAAAAGCACAGGGGCTTGGCCGGGTTCAAGATGGTATATTTGAAGTGTATTCGTTTTGCAATCTCCCCTGCAGAGTTCTTGTTCGTTCCTTCATGATTGAGAGTGCTATGCTAGTTGCAATCATGCAGCCCTCTCATTTTACCCGAAAGAGTGAGATAAAAAAATCGGACTACATTTTTTAGGATGTTTAAAATCATAACCAAAACCGTTGTTGTTAGCAGTTTTTTAAAAATTGTGTATTTCTATGTACATGTACATTTAAAAAGGTACTTTTTCAAATATGAATAGAAATCGATATTGAAAATAATATTTCTATCAGCTGTTTTTGATTTGAATTTTAATCATTGTATCAACACACACAAAAAAGACTAAACAATATACTGAATTCACCATCCCGAAACTGAAGCTCCTGTGGTCTGAGAAGGGTATTCTCTTATCTAGAATGATGCATTCGCTGGCAAAATATTGCTAAAGATAACTTAATCCACATTTTCATATCCTACTATAACATAGGATTATGTAAAAATCTGTGTAAACCTGGTAAAAAAATATCAAGCACTAGTTGAAAGGCAAAGCAGGTTTTAAAAAATACAAAAACAAGCAGACAAAACCAAAACCAAAATAACAAAACCCAATGCATTGTCAAGTGTTAATCTTAAGTCTAACCTAACCCTTAGTCTAACCCTATCCTTAACCCTTAGTGTAACCCTATTCTAGCCCTAACCCTAAGTGTAACCCTATTCTAGCTCTAACCCTTAGTGTAACCCTAACCCTAAGTCTTACCATAACCCAAATCCCAACCCTAACTTAAACCCAACATCCATATGGTTAGTTCAATCGTTATACAATAAGAAGCAAATGAAACAATTCATTGTTTCTCAAAATATCTTTGGAACTTAGAAAAATATATGTATAAAAGGATTTTACATTCATTTTGTTAGTAGCGAATTAAAAATAAACATTTTAAGATTTGGAAGCCTTTGATCTCTCGACTTTATCTATTGGTCTATGGTATATTAAAAAACCTATAGTCCCCTCCGGTTTCACCGGTAGGGGACTAACAAGCATTCTGAGAGTATTGCATTAGCAATACTAGTCCCCTACCGGCAAGTGTAATCTGGTTCCCGTTAAAAATTGAAAATGCCATAATTCCGTCAAAAATCAATGAAGAGGAATGAAATGCAAACCTGATCTATAACTCATCAAGATAAAGTCACATGCCAAAAATCAGCTCAATATCTGCAAGCGTTTAGAAAAAAATTGCGGAAAACCCTGAAAAATTGGAAAGGTCGTAATTCCGTCAAAAATCATTGAAGCGGAACGAAATGCAAACTTGATCTTTAACTCATCAAGATACACTCACATACTAAAAATCAGCTCAATATCTACAAGCGTTTAGAAAAAAAGTGCGGAAAACTAAGTGGGACAGACTGACAGACAGAGAGAGGGACAGACGGACAGGACAGACAGACAGCTAGACGGACGGACAGACTCAGAGGAAACCTATAGTCCCCTCCGGTTTCACCGATAGGGGACTAATAAACAATAGTTTTAAGGGGACGGTCATTTGATTCGGGGGGGGGGGCTAACAAATTTTTTTCGGTTCAAATTATTTACCAGTATTTCCATACCAGTTATGAACGACAGATTTTTAATTTCCAAGATAATCAAAGACAGATTATTTAATGTTTCCAAAATCTACCAGCCACCCCCTCCCTTCCCCATCAGAATCAATGGTCGTCCCCTAATCAGTTTAAGAATTTGGAGAGTACCCTAAGGAACTAATCTCAATCAATAAAATTGCGTTTATTTGATTATGGTCTGACGACACGTTTCTCAAATATCTGCATTTATTTTGCATCTATTCATAATGTACCAAATCTTCCGATTTCTAAACTTTTTAAAATGTCTGGAAATATATATGAACCAAAAATTATGATATGAGCAATTCAAGTAATTTCCTGTAGGATTATATGGTATATAGCATCCTACTGAATCTTAACAATATTAATGCCTGGTAAAGAACCCAAATTTTCTGTGAGTAAGTTTCTTGAAGAAAGAGAACATTAGTATCAAATTCTTGGGAAAAATTATATATATAGAACGTGTCGTCTGACCTTAAAATAACTTTGGTGAGAAATTCTTTATCTTAGAGACTGAAAATATTAACTGGGCTTAAAGTAGTAAACTGCATTTCTTGTGAATGATTTTAGCTACCGAATAATAAGCATTATGACAACAATTGGAAATGGGGTTAAAAGTGCATTTTGATAATAAACTAACAAATCAAACAGAAGGGTTATAATTACGTTAGGAAGGCTAAAAAGAATACATTACATCATGCATAAAATAACTAAAAGATGGTGGTACTTACAATCATGTACGATTATCCAGTTTTTTTTAATCAAGAGATTGGAATGAAGATTTATAACTACACTACTGTACACATGTACATTGACCTCATTAATGTTTACACAATAATGTATTGCATAAATATCACGATAAATCTAGCAGAGATATTGTTATGAAGGGAAAATTAGACCACCTTTATTACAATCACTGTTTAAAATTTCATTTTATGATTATATCTTTTTATAGAACAGAAGTATAATTTCAATATTCCACCAGCTGCTCTGTGAATCCTCTTGAAGATCGCCAATCACGAATATATATATATATAGAGAGAGAGAGAGAGAGTACCCAAAAATATACAATAGTTTTAAGGGGACGATCATTTGATTCGGGGGGGGGGGGGGGCTAACATTTTTTTCGATTCAAATTATTTACCAGTATTTCCATACCAGCTGTGAACGATAGATTTTTAATTTCCAAGATAATCTAGGACAGATTATTTAATGTTTCCAAAATCTACCAGCCACCCCCTCCCTTCCCTATCAGAAGCAAAATGAGTGAACAGATAGATGAAAAACAGACTAAAAGCGCAAACTTCAATCAGTTTAGCTTACTCTAGCCTTTGGTTCAGATGTGAGTACACAATAGGTTCGGCGGAGTTACGTAACACGAACATTTGTCTATCCGCTAGATATCTAAATCCAAAGTCTCTGACGAGACTGTATCTCTACCTGTTTGTAGTTATACTCAAAGATAGGTAAAAGTAGCATCTGGACTTGAAACATAGTAGTTGTGGCAACACTATTAAAAAAAACTTATAATATACTTCCTAATAAGGTTCTATCATTTACATCATTATTAAATATTAAGGAGACGTAGTATTGTAAAGTTAACTTGTTTCCGATTTTTGATTTTCCTTTAATGCATGTTTGTACACCTCGCTGGTAATTTACAAATTAAAAAAAAAATGAATTAAAAACAAGACTTGCTCTTCGTTCGACATATTTACAATGCATAATTCTACATAATTGCCAGAATTAAACTGTCCTCCTTTACATATTTATACACATTAAATCAATGTAAAAATGTAGACAAATTCACATTTCATTTCAAACTGAGAAATATGTTTCAAGCAATAATAATAATCATCGTCATCATAAATAAAATAAAATAAATAATCCTGAGACTAAGCAGTTGGCTATATTTTAGTTTTACTTTTCAAGTGATATTTTCTTACTGCTCACTGCTACTGTCAATGTGGCACCACTGCTTATAGATGCATGCAGTACCTTTTACGTTATCTTTTATAAGCATGCTTGAAAAAAAAAACCCTGTATTATTACAATAATGAAATAAAGAGTCGGCGGAATCAGGAATTTTAAACGAGGAAGATGGAGAAAGTAGCAAGTTTTCTCGGAAAAACAAAACACCCCCCCCCTCCCCCCCAAAAAAAACTCCAAAATTTCCGGACGAGCAAAATAAATCCAAATTTATTTTGACAAGGGGAAAGGGGGGTTATACGAATATATTTACAATTTACATTCAACATGTATTTTGCTTATAAAGTGTGACGAAAGCTACGGCATTCAAAACACCATAACACGGACAGGGTATCAAAAGGTCAAAGTATGCGTTTTATTTTGACGTCACAAACGTTGAACGTAGAAGGATTAAGCGTACGCTCAACTAGGACCTTAGGTCACCAGCTCAGTTCACAACTATCAAACCTGTTTACTACGCGACAAAATGTAGTGCATTGCAACCGTAAAGTGA